CTTCATGTAATCATGTAGTCCCCACAATCGCTGACGTGGGATCGCTTGTCATGTGAGGGGACAGGCGCAAGTAGGGTATAAAGTATCCGTACGCGACGAATGGCTGGCTATACTGGGGTACATTAGGAAGTCAGCGCCATACTGCCATACCTGACAAGGACTCACACTGTGGTAGGGCCAGGTATCCGTACTGCTGTAGCAGTGCCCAGTGCGCCCGGTACCCGGATACCGGCGTCCGGCCTCCTCGTACTGCAATACTGCGAGAGAGGCGGCACAATACTGCCATACCTCCCACATACAAGTGTCGAAGTATGGCGAAGTATGCATACTTCAATACCACAGACTTCGCCGCTTGTACGCGGACGGATACTGCAGATACTGCAGATACTGCAGATACTGCAGATACGGGTGGGTGCCGACTGCGCTATACAACAGCGGCTGCGGCACCCCACAGCCTCGGTGGAACAGCTGCCAAAAGCTGAATATGCACTGCCAGAGGCATTGGCCAGCAGCGACGCAAAACTTGACGGCCGAAGCGGGTAGATAGATGCGTTGCGGGCTCTCCTGCCTTCATGTGCGATCCAAATCAGCGACTGTCAAACAGGCTGGGTGCTCCTCACTTGACTCTTACTGGAGTGCTGCGAGCGACTGCGGCGAGGAAGGTGTGCCGATGGGTCCCCGGTTTTCGTGGCCGCTTGCTTGCGGTGTCTCACGAGGAAGCCTTGGCCGGCGCGAGAGCCGCGTGGCAGACGGCAGCATCCGCAAACACACCGACCGGTGCTACTTGCTGTCCTTTCTTGCTTGCAGCTCTGAGCCACGGTTGCGTGCAGACATGATTGCGTCACCTGGTGGGTCGCGGCGACACACGCGCTCAGGAGTGCAAGCTTGAACTTTGCAGGCATTGGCCGCCGCTGATGGTACAGTGCATCCTGGCAGAGCCAGCGCGGCGGCGGCAGATCTAGGCTGCGAGGGTGGTGCTGCCACACCCCACCCGCCTGTTGCCACAGACGACCCAGATACCGCGGATACCGCGGATACTGCAGATACTGCAGATACTGCAGATACTGCAGATACTGGAGCGCGCCCTCGAGATACCTGGGTACTTGGGCGGGTTGCGGGACCACGTAAGGAGTGGTATCCCCGTACCCATACTTGCGGGTGCGACCGCCGCTACCTATGTACTTGAGACGAGCTGCAACATACTGCCATATGTGCGTCTCAACTACCCATACCAGCATACGTCTAACTATGCGTCTACGAGGTATCTTTAAGTACCAGCGTATGCATACCTGGCGCAACGGCAGGATTTACCTGCCTACCCCGACGATGGAAATAGATACCCCGATACGTTCATACCTCACAAATACCTTACTTGGCCCTGTCCCCTGAGAGAATGCGTTGTGTTCTTGTTCGTATCGGCTTTCTCTTAGTGCCAGTGCGCGCCAGTCCCGTGCCCAGTGTTGTGCGAGGGAGTTTCGTTGTAAAATTCTCTGTTTGGAGCAGCCGCGAGGGTCCCCAACCCTACCCAGGTAGCGAGGCCGGCAGCGCGCACTTGAGGTGACCTCGCCCAGCTGGGCTTTACAGCTCGGCGGAGTCATGCTCGCCCTCGCTCCATTCGGGCTTCGCCTCTTCAACTCGGGTGTGTGACCCTTTGCGCAGCGCCCTTGGGTTGCGCTGCTCGAGACAAAAACACGCTTTGAGCACACGCTGATCGACCTCGAGAAGAAACCGCCGGAGTTCCTGAGGCTGTCGCCAACCGGCCTCGTGCCTCTCCTCGTGATGGATGACGGGGAGGTGGTGACGGAGTCAGCGGTCGTCGCGAGGCGCGTGGCGACAGAGTTCCGCACTCGGCACACAAACTTGCTTCCGAGCGCCGAGACGGCTGCCATCGACGCCTTCGTGGGTGTGTGGACAAGCCAGGTCGAGCCGGCTTATTACACGGTGCTCAAGGCCGAGTCCGAGGCGCAGGTCCGCACTGCCGTCGCCGGCCTCCTGGAGACGCTACGTGCGGTGGAGGCATCTCTGTGGGAGCGCACGATGGCGCGAGGAGGCTGACGCGAGGCGTCCACTGGCGCGGCGCCCTTCCTGCTCGGAGGGGCGTTCTCGCTGGCCGAGTGCGTCGCCGCTCCGTGGGTCGAGCGGATGCTGCTCATGCTACCGTACTGGCGCAACATTGACCTG